ACAATTGGTGGCTGACTAAATACTTTTTTGCCCCACTGTAGCTGTCAAAAGTTTGGAAGCATTATAATTTTTCAATGTTTCTAATGTAGTCTCTTCTGTTCACCAAGGCTGCATTTTTTAATCAAAGATACAGTTAAATTAGGAAATATCATTACAGTTTTCTATGTGAATATCTGTTCAAAATATGCAGATTGGCTCCCCAATTATGATTGTGTCACAGTTTCCACAAAAATATTGTGCAGCCTGACTGTGTTCAACATTGATAATAATCAGAAATGTTTCTTGAGCAGCAGATCAGCATATTATACTGATTTCTGAAGATCATGTGACACTGAAGACTGGAGTAATGATGCTGAAAATACAGCTGCACATCACAGAAATACATTACAGTTTAACAGAGATTCACATAGAAAACAGCTGTTTTAAATTCTAATAATATTTCACAATTTTTACTCTGATGAGCAGAAGAGACTTCATTAAAAACATTTAAAATCATAAAGTTTCCAACTAAAGTACTGTACATGAGGAACAAAGAGAGAAGTGTACCAGATAGGGTTTGGGAGTGTTTCCTGAGGTACTGGTCTGCCAGAGACTGAGCGCTCCGTCCGCAACCACGATCCCAAACTACAACACACACACACACACACACGAGCTGGTTTACACACACTACAGTCACACACAGCGCTCTCACACGAGTGATTCCTGACGCACCTTATTGCCCTGATAATTGAAGCGTATCCTGGTGACCCTGGAGTTTCCGGGGCTCCTGAAGCAGATGATCTGCTGTGAGTGACCCCACTCAAACATGCGCACGCTGCCGTCCTGAGCTCCGGTCAGATCTACACACACACACACACACACACACACACACACACACACACGAGTACTGAATCTCTGGATCAAAACACAGCGATGAAGAAAGCAGAAACAATCAATTGCGTATGTTAGCAGTAGTAATAGTAGTATATTTTTTATTTAATGCCATGTCAGCATCTTAGGCTATTTTCATGGCAAAAACAATTTAAAAAATACAAGTATAACAAACAAACGCGTTATATTACACAAGATTGTTTTACATTAACATATGTTACCCTGGAGCACAATACGAGTCATAAGGGTAAATTTTTTTAAATTGAGATTTATGCATCAGCTGAAAGCTGATAAATAATCTTTGCATTGATGTATGGTTTGTTAGGATAGCACAATATTTGAAAATCTGGAATCTGAGGGTGCAAAAAAATCTAAATATTGAGAAAATCATCTTTAAAGTTGTTCAAATGAAGTTCTTAGCAATGCATATTACTAATCAAACATTAAGTTTTGATATATTTACGGTAGGACATTTACTAAATATCTTCATGGAACATGATCTTTACTTAATATCCTAATGATTTTTGGCATAAAAGAGAAATGTATAATTGTGACCCATACAATGTATTGTTGGCTATTGCTACAAATATCCCCCAGCGACTTAACACTGCTTCTGTGCTGCAGGCTCACAAATGATAAAAATTCTAAAACTTTTTCTGGCAAAATTATACTAAACTCTTTAAGTGAGTTCGTATGTTAGCAGATTCATATGTAAAATAATGTGATTATCAAGCATTATATAGCATACAATCCAATGGATTCCACCAGTGAGTAAAAAATAAAACAAGGTAATTGCAAATTTTTATCTCACAATTCTGACTTTTTTTCTCAGAAATGCAAGAAATAAACTTCAGTGCTGGAAATGGGCTTCAATAGAATCCGATCCGGGGCGTAGTCTCTGACAAAAGCTTGCAACATGTACTACGTTAAGCTAACTGAGACTTGTTATAGCACTTGCATATCATTGCTCTTTTGTTGATTCTGATTGCTTCTGTTGTCCTCATTTGTAAGTCGCTTTGGATAAAAGCATCTGCTAAATTACTAATACAATATTAAACCAGCCAAGGTGCCAGCACAAAAAAACACATTCAGCAAAATATTGTTTAATAATCAATATTGACCAAAATTCCTCCATTTCAGGCCCCAGAAGGAAAAAAAGCTTATAAATAACAGTTAATTTAATCACTAAATAAATTTGACCACTGTGTGCTTGATGCAGTCACTCACAGTAGGGCAGCGTGGGGTGTGACGTCATCCGCCTCACGTTGTTGATGTTGCGTTTGATGAGCTGCGAGAACACAGAAGAGCGTGAGCGAGTGTTAGGCGTGAGCGGAGCATTAGCGGTCGAGTGTTGTTAGCACTGCTCACCACGGCGGCTCCTCGGCCCGTCTGCAGGCTCCCCAGCCAGGGCATGTTGATGGGTGTCCCGGGGCTGCTGTGGGTATAGGGTGTGCTGCCGTGAAGCGCGCTGAAGTCGTCCCGAGCGTGAACCACCAGGAAATCATCCGTCCTGACAAACAACACAATCACTAGGGATGGGGATCGCTTCAGATGACCCGATTCAATTCGATTTTTGATTCGCAAGCTCTCGATTCGATTCGATTATTGATTCGATTCTTGATTCACAAGCTCTCGATTCGATTCAATTCTTGAGTCGCAAGCTCTCGATTCGATTCGATTCTTGATTTGCAAGCTCTCGATTCAATTCGATTCTTGATTCGCAAGCTCTCGATTCAATTCAACTATTGATTCGATTCTTGATTCGCAAGCTCTCGATTCGATTCGATTCTTGATTCGCAAGCTCTCGATTCAATTCGATTCTTGAATCGATTCTTGATTTGCAAGCTCTCGATTCAATTATATTATTGATTCAATTCTTGATTCGCAAGCTCTCGATTAAATTATATTATTGATTCGATTCTTGATTCGCAAGCTCTCGATTCGATTCTTGATTCGCAAGCTCTCGATTTGATTCTTGATTCGCAAGCTCTCGATTCAATTCAATTATTGATTCGATTCTTGATTCGCAAGCTCTCGATTCAATTCGATTCTTGATTCGCTAGCTCTCGATTTCGATTCTTGATTCGCAAGCTCTCGATTCGATTCTAGTTTTAATACAAATGCTATTGATATTTCAAAAAAATGAACAGTAAACATCTAAAAGAAATTAAGAGCCACAGGCCTGTATTTTAAATCTATTCTTTTTTTTTTGTTTAGGTTCTTTTTTAAACAATAATAGGGCCCTATAAAATGTTTTCTTCATTTTTCTGGTGATCAGATGAAGGCATAAAACATCAATTTATCCTAATCAAATTAACATTAAACCCTTTTATTTTTTGGCAAAGAAAGTGTCGCACAACAGAGGTTTACTGTTGTTACATTGTTGTTACGTTGAGTCTTAAGACTGCTAAATAGTAATATATCTCTGACACAGTGTCTTCATGTTAAATAAAATTTTTATTTTGACGAGTTGCCGTGAAGAACTCGCAGCTGCTGTGTATGTGAAATTTTCTCAAATTAAACAGTAAAATGCTCATGTAGGGTGACCATATGTCCTCTTTTTTTCCCAGACAAGTCCTCTTTTTATTGTTGTTGCATTTTTATTTTTGTTATGGTTGTATCTTTCCATTAGTGCTACGTATAAGAGAGATATAGCAATGGAAGTGCGTGAGGCACAACAAGTATCATTTCTAGGGTCAAGCTCTCGATTCAATTCGATTCTTGATTCGCTAGCTCTCGATTCGATTCTTGATTCGCAAGCTCTCGATTAGAGCTGATGATACTCAGCTCTATATTTCTTTGTGGCCCGGCGAAACATACCAATTTGAAAAACGAACGGAATGCATATTCGATATAAAAAACTGGATGGCGAGTCATTTCTTACTGCTAAATTCTGAAAAAACAGAGGTGTTAATTATCGGACCTAAAACCTCCGCACGTAATAACCTAGAACACTCTCTAACACTTGATAGCTGCTCTGTTAATTCCTCGTCATCAGTTAGGAACCTAGGTGTGCTATCTGATAGCAATCTTTCCTTAGAAAGCCACGTTTCTAGCATTTGTAAAACTGCATTTTTCCATCTAAAAAATATATCTAAATTACGACCTATGCTCTCAATGTCAAATGCAGAAATGTTAATTCATGCGTTCATGACCTCAAAGTTAGATTATTGTAATGATTTATTATCCAGCTCTATCTGTCTATCACTATGCGGGGTATTTAAATCACTTTGAATGCAGCTCGCGTTGGATGCAGGGTTGCCAAATCCTAATTTTTTGCACAAAATTGGGCTGATTTTAAACTGTTGCGGCGGGTTGATTTTCTCCCGTGGGTTAAAGGTTTGAAATATTGCATAAAGTACATTTGACTGAAATGCTTGTATTGAAAAATTTTGCATTCTACCCATGATAAAACTGTGGTAGATGTTAAGTTTTGAGAAGGATGACCACTGGTAGAAAGCCTTTTAGCTGTGTTTATGACCAACTGCATAACGGTGACTGTAAAATATGTATTTTAGGTATGGAAATAACATATTTTGAGTTTTGATATTTGGGATATGGGCACTGCGCTACTTTGGTGGCTAAAAATCTTCGTCATTATTTTATCTTTGTTATTAAAAAATAAGAACAAATATACACATTACAAATACACATAATATACAAATAAAACAAACAGTAGGTGTATTTAGCAGAAACATTTAAGAAATTGCTATATAGATTGATTCCTATTAAATCAACTGTATTAAAGTTTTTCAGTCAAGAGGCTTTTTTCCTACTATCAAATTCAATGTGGGCCAGCAACTGTTTGGTTACCCACATTCTTCAAAATATCATCTTCTGTGTTCAGCACAAGAAAGAAATTAATACAGGTTTGGGACAACATGTGAGTGAGTAAATAATGACAGAAATTACATTTTAGGGTGAACTAACCCTTTAATGACAGTCGGTTGCATGTTCAGTACTGTCCCTTTAAGAGCTGCACGCATCTAATATACAGACACGCATCCGTTCTTCTCTCAACTGCTTACTTTCATTTTAGACATAACCAACTGAGTCTATATGCAAACCTTGTGTGTTTTGACTGAGATAACTTGGATAACTGAGATAAAGATAACTTAGTTCAGTAATCAGGCGCTGTTTAACAGGCTTTTTAGTGTACGCGTTCAGAAAAGGCACACATCAGAACAGCACGCGAATGAAACGTTTAACCGGTAAGGCTTTAAAGCACATGCAAATAATGCACTTTTGTGATTGCAAATAAGTGCAGTGTCCCGTGAGAGTAACTCTACCGCAGAGGAGGCACCAGAACTGTAACTGATAGACTACGAATATTTCTTCAAAAGCAGATCGTGGACACATTTTTACCATCCACAATCATAAATCATCATTTCGCTGCTACCGTCACCAACATTCTTCAAAATATCTTCGTCTGTGTTCGACATAAGAAAGAAACTCATACAGGTTTGGAACAACATGCAGGAGACTAAATGATGACAGAATAATCAGTGAACTGTGGCTTTAAGAGTGTTTTATCACATCGCTGCGTGAATGCTGAGCTGCTGTGACTCACCCTTTGACCTCGGCCTCGTTCTCGTCATCGACCCAGGTCAGGATCTGCGTGGCGAGGATGGAGGACACATCCAGCTCCTGGATGTCGTGGGTGGAGGCGATCACTAAACAGTTGCGATTGGCCTGGAAGACAGAGAGAGGCTGTTGTTTAGGCTTCAGATCAGACACAAACACACCGCAGCATGTCACGTCACAGCACCTTATTGATGGCGAACGCCGTGATGATGTCCGACTCCTTGTGGATGATCCGAGCTTTTCCTCCAGGAAACCCCAGACCGGCCTCGATCTGCAAGAGGAAGGAGAGCGCAGCAACATCACTAACACTGGTCTCAGACGGGACAGTGATGTGAATGCAACGGGCTCATTTATCCTGTCTAGGGATGCAACGATGCACGAGTATGGGCCAGTTTTACTAACGGCTTGCGTTAGGGCAAACCGTCTTTTGGCGTTAAAATATTACTAAACATGCGCACTGATAAATTAGCGCTGAAAAGGCGTGGACACAGTTATTTTTGCACCTGACCTTATTAAATATGCATTTGTAGGAGTTTCCCTTTCAGACACAATATTTATGGGAGGAGAGAATTCAAATTAATCACGCAATGAGATTTACTAACATTTGCGCACGCCAAATTACGGGTATTCGCGCCATTATCTAACTCCTAAAAAAGCATGTCTTAAACTATTTTGTGCTTGAAATGACTGTGATTATTGTTGTTTCATCACCGCAGGGAACAGAGAGGGTTTTTTTTCCCACACATATTAATTTATTTGGAATGCCAGAAAAACACTATCCGAACATATCGTTTGCCAAGACATGTTATTTTTAATTTGCTTCAGGAAATAAAAGACGACTTGGAACCCTCAACCAGCTCTATCAAAACTTCTAGCAAACCTTCATTTTTCAGTTCCGTGTTCTTAACATAGTTTTTCTCAGTTTTAAACGTACTGCGGCTACTTTATTTCTTTAGGTGCGACTACGCTAATTTGCGCTGCGCTTGGTATATTGCGTTGGTCGATATGCAATGAGATGTTGCGTCTGTGGGTTTTAATTTGTGCGTTGTTAGTAAATCACCCGCAGAAATTTCCCCTCCCATCGGCGCTGTTTTGGAATTGCGTTCTCGCGCTAATTTGCCCTGTTTAGTAAAACTGGCCCTAAATCGCCGATAAAAATATGTGACAATTCAAGTCAGTTGAGATGTTAAACAAATCGCGATACGGTTGGAGGTGGGGGTTTATATGTACATCCAGCCGGTTGTTATCGCAGAAAGAATGTTGTATAAGACTGAAGGGCTTTATTTTGCGATAACAACCGGCTGGATGTACATTATCTTGCTTATTACATGGTTACTTAACTAAATAATTAGACACAAAAATTAGAGTTGAAATTAGGGTTGTCAAATAAAAATTGGAATTTAAATTTTTTTTAGATTTTCAAAAAAATTAAACTTGCGAATGCAAAAATGCTGCATTTAAATTTTAGGTGTGCATTATCAGTGGCACACAAGATGCGATGATGATGTAAGTGTCGTTGCATTTTAATGAATGCGAATGAAACAGGCTCATTTATCCTGACTAGGGGTGCAATGATGCACGATTAAATTGCCGATAAAAATGTGATTATTGAAGTCGGCTGAGACGTTCAACGAATCGCGATACAGTTCAGCATCTCTGAGGGGAACTGACTGCCTTCAGAAAAGTTTAGATGGTATTTTCTTTTCATCTGGTCTCTGTATAAAGGCCCGTTCACACCAAGGACGATAACTATAAAGGTAACGATAAGAACATAGTTATAAAAATCTCGTTCTCAATATTAAAGAATAGCAAAGTCCACACCACATCTATAACGATAAAGGCACAGAGAAACGATATCGTTGGAATCACTTTCAGAACGTTTTTTTTTTTCCCAGCTGATAGAGCTAGAATAAACAGACGATATCGTTCACTGGTGGTAATATCGTTATCTTTATAGTTATTGTTCTTGGTTTGAACGGGGCTTAATGTACATTAATGTAGCAGCGCTGCTTTTTTTTACTGCGGTAACCAAGGAAACGCTGCATCACTGCTGTTCCAAAAGCGCCACCTGCTGTCAGAGAGTGAATCTGCATCTCATTCAGCTCAAAGCGGTTTCTGTTTTGGTCAGATATGATTTATGTAGTATAGTTTCACAAAGCTGAAGCCAGGCCATTCTGTTTTGCTTCAAATTTGGAAATTATACAATCTAATTTAAATCAGAAACTGCTCATGCTGCATGCATCAGTTTCGGGAATCGACTCGCATTGTGAGTTGAGTGAATCGTTACATCCCTCATTGTGACAGATCACAGAGATCACATCCACATGTGCTGTTTAAAGACTCTTTTAAAGGTCTCTCAGTCATGAACTGCTGCTAGAAGAGAATAAATGTGTGGGACAATCCGGTTTATTCACTAACGCTAAGTGTTCAAGCTTTAAATCAACATGAAATCACATGTGATGCTGAATATTGTGTTTCACTCAAGGAAAACAAATCTAGGTCAGGACTTGATGTTCAGATCTCACTGTGAGTTTGCAGTGCATTGTGGGCGATCGACTTCTGAGGAGGCTTTCTGATTAGATCACTAGCTGCTTGCATATACAGCTTAGACTAGTCTTACAAGTTAGCCATCGATTCCATTAAGTCAGTCACATAAAAAAGTAGACTGTTCTACTTTGAATCTGAAAAGTAAGACTGATCACACCTTGGTAACTGCTAGTTGTTAAGACACAGTCTAGTTTAGAGGCTAAGTTTATGCACTGCCAGAAAGCTGCTTCAAATATAAAACAATCACTACAGATATCTGACTAGTAGCCCACGTGAGCGAATAGAAAGTGTTTCAGAAGTGAAGCTCTGATGAATCGTTCACAATCAGAGCAGGAACTGTGATTTCATGTTGATTTGCAGATAAGCATGCATCTTAAAGAGCCTCACGACTGGATGATGATGATGAAGATGAAGGAGCAGAAGCTCTGTTAGATACCTGGTTGTGTGTGGACTCCAGCGGCACAGAACATTTCACACTGTCAGTCTCCTGATTCAAACATGCAGGTCAATCACACACATCACAGTCCACGATTAGACGTTAATTACAAACATCTTAAAGTACAACACCAGTTAACAGTATTAATGACATTACCAAATCAACAGACTGGGGTGACTGTTAAAAACACAATAAGGAGGAGTGAAATCAAGCAGCTGATGGGGAACAGACTGTATTTCGAGGTGTATTCCTTGGTAACTGCTAGTTGTTAAGACACAGTCTAGTTTAGAGGCTAAGTTTATGCACTGCCAGAAAGCTGCTTCAAATATAAAACAATCACTACAGATATCTGACTAGTAGCCCACGTGAGCGAATAGAAAGTGTTTCAGAAGTGAAGCTCTGATGAATCGTTCACAATCAGAGCAGGAACTGTGATTTCATGTTGATTTGCAGATAAGCATGCATCTTAAAGAGCCTCACGACTGGATGATGATGATGAAGATGAAGGAGCAGAAGCTCTGTTAGATACCTGGTTGTGTGTGGACTCCAGCGGCACAGAACATTTCACACTGTCAGTCTCCTGATTCAAACATGCAGGTCAATCACACACATCACAGTCCACGATTAGACGTTAATTACAAACATCTTAAAGTACAACACCAGTTAACAGCATTAATGACATTACCAAATCAACAGACTGGGGTGACTGTTAAAAACACAATAAGGAGGAGTGAAATCAAGCAGCTGATGGGGAACAGACTGTATTTTGAGGTGTATTCTGGGAAAGAGAGCGAGCAGCTGCACAAATACCTCATTCTGATCTCGTTTCTTGGTGAAGATGTTTCGTATGAACGTCTCCTGAACTTCTTCCTGTTTGACCAGATACTGCCACAGCCGTCTGACGGGCAGAGCAGAGCGCCGGCGGGACCTGAGAATCAAACACGCTCAGAACCTCATCACAAAACACTCATAATGCACCCAAATTATAATTCTGCGCCGAAACTGAAAGTTCAGGAGGCACATTGCCAAAGGTGAAAATAAAGGTTATTTAATAATCAATGGATCAAATATACTTAATGTACAAACCTTTAAAACTGTACATAAGGCAGTTTTCAAGTCAATATTTTAACTAGATAAAAATAGATAGATAGAAAATAGATTTTGTCAAGACAAACTTTAGGTTGGCATGAGAAAGCCTAGCCTGAAAGTTTAAAGCAGTTGTAAAAGCCTGAAGTTTGAACATTTAGATAGATTAAATAGATGTTGATAACATGTTTCTAGCATGATTAGCATGTTTTTAGCATTATTAGCCTGTTACTAGCATATTTTGCTGACATGGTTAGCAAGTTACTGGCATGTTGCTAGTATGTTTCTAGCATGATTAACATGTTACTAGCATTTGCTAGCAAGATTAGCATGTCACTAGCATGATTAGCAAGTGACTAGCATGATTAACAAGTGACTAGCATGTTTCTAGCATGATTAGCACGTTACTAGCATGTTGCTAGCCTGTTTCTAGCATGATTAACATGCTACTAACATGTTGCTATCATGATTACCAAAGTTACTAACATGTCATTAGCATGTTTCTAACATGATTAGCATGTTACTAGCATGTTGCTAGCATGATTAGCAAGTAGCTAGCATACTGATAGCATGATTAGCAAGTTACTAGCATGTTTATAGCATGATTAGCAAGTTACTAGCATGTTACTAGCATGATTAGCATTGCTACTAGCATGTTGCTACCATGATTATCAAGTGACTAGTATGTTTGTAGCATGATCAGCCAGTTACTAGCATGTTTCTAGCATGATTAACATGCTACTAGCATAATAATAATAATAAGCTTAAGTAGCAGATCAGTAGTTTCTCAAGTCAACCTAATTATGATTTATGCTCCTAGTACGAAACAGCACATTTTGGTTTTGAAAACATTGTCACGTAACGTCACATTTACATATCTCATTACTCTAAACAGCAGAATCTTGATAAATATGCACTGTATCACATATTCATTACATTTACTGAACCTGCTAGCGATATCTTCATTGTGTAATGTCTGAATAAATCATTTATTTAAAAAGTTGACATAAAAACTGCCTTATGTGCAATTTAAAGTTTTGTTAAACTTACTTTTATTTGAGTGTTGATTGAATACATTTGATTAATTAATAGATTATTAAATAACACTTGTTTTTGTTTTCCAAAAATTTAAATTTCGGTACTTTGGTAAAATGAATTAAAGCTGCAGTCCAGTCCGCAAGTTTTGCCTCTTTGTCGCCACCTCTGTTTAAAAACCTGCAATTGCAGTTGTTTGCAGAATTATCTTCTTTGCGCGGCTCCAGCGCGGATGAAGCTAATGTTTTGAGGAGTATGTGTGGATACACTACTTAGGAATCAAAGATTCTAGCCTACGTCTCGGAAGTATGACCCAAATACTAGCATGATTAACATGCTACTAGCATAATAATAATAATAAGCTTAAGTAGCAGATCAGTAGTTTCTCAAGTCAACCTAATTATGATTTATGCTCCTAGTACGAAACAGCAAATTTTGGTTTTGAAAACATTGTCACGTAACGTCACATTTACATATCTCATTACTCTAAACAGCAGAATCTTGATAAATATGCACTGTATCACATATTCATTACATTTACTGAACCTGCTAGCGATATCTTCATTGTGTAATGTCTGAATAAATCATTTATTTAAAAAGTTGACATAAAAACTGCCTTATGTGCAATTTAAAGTTTTGTTAAACTTACTTTTATTTGAGTGTTGATTGAATACATTTGATTAATTAATAGATTATTAAATAACACTTGTTTTTGTTTTCCAAAAATTTAAATTTCGGTACTTTGGTAAAATGAATTAAAGCTGCAGTCCAGTCCGCAAGTTTTGCCTCTTTGTCGCCACCTCTGTTTAAAAACCTGAAATTGCAGTTGTTTGCAGAATTATCTTCTTTGCGCGGCTCCAGCGCGGATGAAGCTAATGTTTTGAGGAGTATGTGTGGATACTCTACTTAGGAATCAAAGATTCTAGCCTACGTCTCGGAAGTATGACCCAAATAAGAATTTTCACTAGATATTTCCATATGAACAAGTAACAAGTCTGCCACTTTTGTTCTGACCAACTGAGGAAAAAGCATAACAATAAATTGCGCTACAACGGTGATTAAATCTAATGATCGGTTAGCTCATATCACATCAAACCGTGCAAATTATTATTATTGTTATACTTTGTTCTCAAATTGTTAATGTTAACAACATCAGCATTGCGTGACTATGTGTATATAGTGTGTATTAGCGAGTAGATTTCAATTTCTGCACAGTCTAATCTCTAATTGTCATACCATTCGAATTTCATATTAAGAAATTCTTTTAACCCAAAAAGCTAATTATTCTTCCTTCAAGCTGCTTCTCTTTAAAATACAAATCTTAAATCTACAAGTACCCCTCAAATTAGAGAACATTATAAGCTAACCGTTGTGAATCGGGCTAAAGTAAGGCAATAGCTTTGAACACTGGCTGGTTATGTGCTTGCTCAAAATTGATTTTGGATCATTTTAACCAAAAAAAGTTACGGACTGAAGCTTTAAATTAATTAAAAACTCATACATAAATATATGAATACAATTACACAAAAAACCTTTCTTTGGTTTCAGTTTTTGACTAAGTGCATCCTGAATTTTCGGTTTCAGCCCAGAATTGTAATTTTGGTGCATCACCAGTCGAAATATAAACATTTAAGCAGTGGCTGTAATAAAAGCTTGTTTTCATGACAGATTTATTGGTGCCATAACTAGTAGTAAAGAGGAAGAGACGATTCACTACAGCGATGCCTCACCACACATTAATGAGCCACGAAAACACATTTAGTTTTTGCATTTCCTGATAATATTAACAGAATTTGAAGGCTGAGACTTTGTTTCATATTAAAAGTAACAAAGCACAAAGATTACTGTGATTTATTAGATGGCAGGAGCAACAAACAATGTTTAGTGAAGTTCATACATCAACAGAAAATAGCACAGCCTGAGAGACTAATCTTGAGATTTGAGAATTCATATCAGTATCAATTAGGGATGTAACGATTAACTGCAAGCCGTTGAAAATCGATTAAAATATGTGACGATTCAAATCGGTTGAGATGCTAAACAAATTGCGATTCAATTAGGGTTAGGAGTTTATATGAATGTATGTCTGAGGGGAACTTACTGTCTTTAGA